CGCGGTCTTCCTGGCACTCGGCGGCACGGGGTCAGGGAGAGTTCCCCAGGTGATGGCTGCTTTGCTTCATTGCAAAGAAGGCTGCAGCTCAGGTCTCAGTTTATCGTCCCCCTTTTTTGGCAGGAAGGGAGGGAAAATGAACTCACCTGAAGACTCACTTTCTGGATCTATGAGCTCTCTTGTCTAACATAAGATTGTCTAAAGATGAAAATCATTAAAAAATACCTTGTTTCATAGAACAAGAAGGTGGTGAGATGCAGCTGATGCTGCTTCAGTCTTGCCACTGTCTAAGTTTGTGAATATAGACCATTTCTTTCACTTACCAGGTTTGATTTTACTCTTGCTGTGATCTGTTACAAAGGTAGTGGCCTCCTATTGTAAAACCTGATAACATAACTATAGTGGTTTATATATATATATATAGCTATAACATAGCTATAATGTGTTGTCACATACTTTTTTTTTTTTTAATTTAGAATTTTTGTTTATGGTTTGATTTCGTTTGGACTTTCTTGAACAAACAGATCTGCTCCATCACAGTAGTAAGTCTGAAGATGGATTTGTATATCAGCAGCTGAGCTGTCCTTCTTATTTCAAGCTGTTCTCTGCACAGTGGTGTGGATAAGACATTCTGGATTTCAGACCTTGTGTGTGTTTTCCAAAATTCCGTTGGTTTTTACTATCACAGGTCTGATATCCACAAAGCTTAAACTTACTTTAATATAAAAAGAGAAACAAGGAATTACTGGAAATATTTTGTGTCTGGAAGAGCTGCATTGAATAACCACCCTCTGGATTTTTTTAATAATCTTCATTAGAAGGCTGCTGCTACACACTGATGAAACTTTAAGAAAATTTAGAGAGACTGGTAGCTTCCAAACTGATGCTTTAAGGATGTTGTAGCTGTAAGGAAGAGTTTTTGGCATGATGCTGCTGAGTCCAGTCAGCGAGAACCATTTTATAATAAGACCCAAAACCAAGTCCACAGTAATGACGCTGTCTCTGGTTCCTTTGGTTAGATCTTCTGGTTTGAATATTTCAATTTAATAGTGTGGTAGTTGACCTTATTCTGGCAGTAACTATGCTGTGTGTAGGTAGTCCTGTCCTTAACATCTAGATAATTGTCCTCCTGACTGTCTTGAAAACCTCAAAACATTTTTGGCTGTTTTTATGCTGTAACCACAAGAGACATGTTTGGTTTCAAGTACAATACAGCCATAAATATGCACATTAACTTAAATTATTAGCTAATATGGTATATGAAAAATAGGCAAGAAGTACTACTAGCTCCTGCTTCTGAAAAAGGAAAATTTAATGAGTTCAACAACTTCACTATGTAATTTCATACTGCCAGCTCTTTTTTCTTCCCTTTGCGTACGCCAACTTAGGATGCCTTACTAAAAGCTGAGATTCTGTGAATCTACAAACCTAGTGATTGAAGCAGTTTAAATACTGCAAGAGCAGAAGCAAAACTGTAAGAGTTGGTAGGGCTGAAGTAAGAGTTTAGAAACCTAGGCTAGCCTCATAAAACTCAGCAAAATGTGTATAAATCTTTCCTAAATGAACCTTCTTGCAGCTCTCTGTATGTTCAGTGTGTCCCCAGTCTACCTGGTGTAGTGTAGTAGTAATATAATGAAGAGGGTGAATACTGATGGCTGAAACTTGTTTCCATTGGTCTAAATTTGGGTAGGAATGGAGTCACTTAGGGAAAACTAAAGGCAGTGAGGTAAGCTTAACTTAAGTCTTTTTTTGATGTCCTGTATATGTTTACTGTTATGTTAAATGTGTTTCAACAATCTTATTTCACTCATGAGCTAAAACTTTTCCACTTGCATGCTCACTTAAGCAGCACCTTGCCTTGGCCTGTTTATGCGCATGATTACTGGTGCCGAGAGAGAATAGTTGCTTTCACACTGAAAGCTGAACGAGACATTTGGTACTGCTTGGTCAGAGTGTCTGTATAGTGAAGAATTGGGAATTCGAAATTAATGGGTTTGGACATTGATCAAGATATGAGAATTACTAGCAAAGTTTGTAAAACCACAACCGTAATACTTGTCCTGGCATTAACAGAAACATCAGCATGCATGCATGTAAAGCACAGGGTGGGGAAATAACACACTAAATGGGGCACTCGAGTGCCTAGAGATCAGTGTTACTCATTTAAAATTCACAAATTCAGAAATCTGAGGCTGCAATGTTTTCTTTTTCTGTGAATCAAAACCAATGTGCACTGATAGTAGTTGGGCTTGTAATACCATATATCAGTGAAGAAGAGA